CAGACGTGGGGGTGGGGGGAGGCGCGGTTGGCAGACCGAGCAAGGGCTCTGGGCGTGGCTCCCAGAGGATGGATAGGTGCAGGCTTTCTCTGAGAGGGAGGGCAGGCAGGCTCGGCATGAAAGCACCATAGCTTTGTGCCAGGGAGGCTGGATACTAGAATCCAAGCTGATTCAGTATATCCTGGATCTTCTGACTCCACAATGAAAAAATGCACTGGTTGTAACTTCTGTCTTTCTGGCAGTGTTTCTTATCTCAAAGCTGCTCACAGAAGCTAAGCAATCTGGGAGAAATTAGGATCTGAATAATGCACAGATTAGATAACCCAGAACCAATTGATGGAATAATCAGAACTGAAATATTTGACATGTTCATTATGTGCTTCCTCTGTGCCAGGCTGTGTTCTAAGCCCTGGGCTTGTAGTAGTAGACAAAACAGACAAAAAGTAACATATACAGTAAGTCAGATGGTGAAAGTGCTATGGGGAAAAATAAAACTAGGAAGAGAGGGAGTGACGTGTACATGTCGGCATGTACACGTGTGTTTTAGAGAGGGCAGAGGCCTTGTTGATGCTTTATATAGGTTAGTCTTCACTGTGAAGAGGACTTCCAAGAAGAGACCTGAAGAAGGAAGCAAACCAAAAAGATCTCTGGGGGATTTGCTCTTCAGACAGAAGTAATGGCAAGAGAAAAGACCCTGAAATAGGAGTACTGTACTTGTTAGTTGAACAGCAAGGCAACCAGTGTGGCTGGAACAGTGTGAGCAAGGAGAAGAGAACAAAAGGACATGAGACAGAGAAGTAGGAGAGGGTCCTCATAGGCCAGTAGAAGGACTTGTGGAAAATCACTCAATAGTTCAACCAGGGAAGTGATGTGATAGCTTTTAAAATTATCACCCTGGCTGCTGTGTTGGGATTGTACCACAGGGAGCAAGGGCAGACCCAAGGGAGACCAATTAGAAGGTGGTTGCAATAGTACAGGTGAGAGATGGTGATGGTTTGGACCAGATAGAAGTGGTGAGGAATGGTCAAATTCTGTGTATTTTTTAAAGGTAGAGCCAGTAGAATTTGCTGATGGATTAAATTATAGGGCATGAGAAAAGGGGCAGTTAAGGATGACCTCAAAGTTTTTGACCAGACTGATACAGGCTGGCTCAGCTATAAAAGAGAAATTACTGATACAAGTCAGTTCTGTGGTAATATTTCTAGACTGTCGTTCTAGAGGTTTAGCAGAAATTAGTTAGCAGTTCCATCATCTGTCAGTTCCTCAGCTCAGGCCTGGTGCCCATCACTGTGGTGATGGGGATATTGTGGAGAGAAAGCATGGTATTGGATCAAGATTCTTTCAATCTAGTGTGGGAAAAAGCCTTGAAAACCTTAGAGGGCCCCTGTGGGTACAAACAAATGAAGGACACCCAAGCACTGGAGGGGCTGAAGGAAAAACCGGAGTGGGAGATGGGGATCCTTCATCTGGGAACCACCACTTTTGGAGGCGGGAAGTGTGCTATAAAGAAGGGAGAAGTGAAGGTGTATTGAGAAACAGATGGTTTAGCAGTGGCACAGGGCTTCATATGTGACTTGGGCAAGTCTCTTCCTTCTCAGGTCTTTAATATTGAGTTTCTAAATTTGATTTCTGTGTATGGTTGAAAAGCTGTGTGTGTTGAAAGGCAGAATGTGCTGAGTTTTATATGACTGGGGTCCTCTTGCAGGACAGAGCCAGCTTATTAAAGAGAAGGCAGAGGTGCCAATTCAGCTGTTGGGTAGCATTAAACACTGTGACTTTATCCCTTTTCCTCACTCACTGATACCTCTTTTGGAAGCTGTTAGGGGCCACAGCCATAGAAGACAAGCTGCAAGATGGAGTGCCTGAGACAATCATGACCCTGAACAAAGCCAAAATTAAAATGTGGATTTTAACTGGAGATAAGCAAGGTAAAGGAGATATCCTTGCCTGACCAGTCCTCTTCCCTGTTCACCGTAGCCATTTCTTTTCTTATTCTTAGCCATTTCCTTTTTCTTTCTTTCTTTCTTTTTTTTTTTTTTTTGAGACAGAGTCTTACTCTGCTGCCCAGGCTAGAGTGCAGTGGCAGCATCATAGGTCACTGCAGTCTCGAACTCTTGGGCTCAATGGATCCTTCTGCCTCAGCTTCCTGAATAGTTGGGACTACAGGTGCGCACCACAATGCCTGGCTAATTTTTCTATTTTTTTGTAGAGACAGGGTCTCGCTATGTTGCACTATGTTGCTCAGGCTGGTCTCTAATTCCTGGCCTCAAGCGATCCTCCCACCTTGGCCTCCCAAGGTGCTGGGATTACAGGTGTGCCCCGCCTCTTAGCCATCTTCTTGACAAATACCTTGTAACTCAGGTAAGTCCTTACAGGACACCTTCACTTTCAGTCTTGTATACAATTTGCTGAGCATGTACTCATGCCAGATGCTATATTGGGAATTGAAGACACAGAGATGAATCAATCATATATGACTCCTTTCATCCAGGAACTCACAAGCTAAAAACTTTAAAGTTGCCTTTGGCTATACCCCCTCTGTTGGCCCAAAGATTCATTGGCTTGCCATGTCTCAGTAAGTCATCTAAAAATCCTCTTAACTATGCCACCATCTTAATTCAACCTTCATCCTATGTTGGCTGTATTTCTGCAAAAACTTCTGAACCAATCTCTCTGGCTCTTGCCCTTATTAATCTCATCATAGCCTACATACAACCATCAGTTTAATCTTCCTCAAATATACTAATTTTATGATGTTACTTCTCTGGTCAGTGTCCTACAGTGACTCCACATTGTAAAAATCAGACTCCTCTATCTGGCCTTCATGACTTCGATAATCTTGGTCAGGCGTGGTGGCTCATACCTATGATCCTAGCACTCTAGGAAGCTGAGGTGGGAGGATCACTTGAGCCCAGGAGTTTGAGGTTGCAGTGAGCTCTGATGATGCCACTGCACTCTACCTGGGGTGAAAGAGTGAGACTCCGTCTCAAAAAAAAACAAAAGAAAGAAAGAAAAGAAAAATACTTTGATAATTAATCTATTGCTACCTACACATCCTTACCTCCATCCTATTGTGACCATTATCTTCAGTATGTCCCAAACAAACCAATTCCCACTCTAGGGCCTCTGGGTTGTTTCCCCACTTAAAATACCTTTTCCTCCCCCTAAACCTTCTTATTCATCTTTCAGGGCTTTCCTCCAAGAAAGTTTCTATGACAATTGCAATCTCTCCTCTGAATTCTGATACCACTTGTAGCCAGGAATCGGGACTCAATTTTTTTTAAATTTTTTCCTTAGTATGAATTTATTCCAATTCCCAGATTTCTTGATGTAAAGGAAGGACTACAATTTAAACATGTCTCAGTCCCCCATGAAATCTAACATAGAAATTGGCACAGTACTTTTCAAAGAAACACATCCTGATTGCCTTGAGAAATGGATGCAGACTGGAATTGCTTTAAGAAATAGCATAAAGTTTTTTAGAGAAGGCCAAAATGATCCTAGTTATTGATAAGTAACTCACAAGTCTGTACCACGTAGATAGTCACATGTGGATGTTCGAATATGGTCTCCACTGATTCATAAAAAATGCACTTTGACTGCATCCATGGCAAATGTGGACAAATGGGCTCTGCAGCCCACGGTTAGAGCCTATGTACCTGTACACTGTGAAGACCTTGTCCTTGTCTGTAAACACCAGCCAGAATGAGACCTTTGTTCTCCCTTCCCTACAGAGACTGCTGTGAACATTGCCTACTCCTGTAGTATATTTGAGGATGAAATGGATGGGGTGTTCACTGTGGAAGGCAGGGACGATGAGACTATTCTGCAAGAACTCAGGTACAGATGCGAGAGTGACCACGGCCAGTCCCTGATGCCAAAATTTCCCATCCATCTCTTCCCACAGTGTGGCTTCCATACCACCATAAGGAACAGAAGAAATGGAGGGGAAAACAAAAACCCTAAAATATTTGAGATAATCTTATAAGGAAGCATTCAGGCTAAAGGAGCTGGAGTGTGGGGGCTGGAGACGCATGGCATGTGGACGGTCAGGGAGCAGTTGGGTCTGTGGTCCTGCTGGTGCTTTGCAGAGGCCGTATACCCCTTTGCTCACTGGGACACATTTTCCTTTCTAAGGTCTGGGGCTTCAGGTCAGACTCTGACCACTATGCTTGGCTTTCAGGACAGCAAGAGGCAAGATGAAACCTGAGTCTCTACTGGATTCAGACCCAGTAAACATTTACCTCACCACGAACTCCAAAATGCTCTTCAGAATGCCTGAGGAGGAGGCCAATGGCAACTATGGCTTGGTCATCAATGGCTACAGTCTGGTGGGCAACACAGAGCTACAACTCTGTTCTCTTCTTCCAAGGAACTTTCTTCCTAGGTCCAACTCACTTCAGGGAAATTTCAAGACCCCTTCCGTATTCCATGAGTCACCCCATTCCCAGTTCCTTCAGGTGCCTTGCCTGAAAGACACCTTTCCCCAGGTTTCTCTAGACAAGAGTCAATGAGGAAAGGGAAGCCAAGAGCATATTCCTTCCTTAACCAAATTCTTCACTACTGATTTGGCCTGTCACTTAGGGGAAGAGGAGAAGCAAGCAGAACCAGGTCCTCCAAGAGGTTACTTGATCTCATAGCGCTGTCAACTGATTTGACCCAGTGAGAGGCCCTGACCGGTTTCCCACTGGAGGCTGAGTCAGATGCGAGGATGCCTAGGACTGACTTGGGAGCTTGGCCTCCTTTAGGGGTGGAGAACCTCAGGAGTAGCCATGCCCACCCTATGAAGGACAGGGAAGGGAACAGGCCTGGGAAGGTCCTGCCCTGAGAGCCTTTTTGGACAACCTGAAGAATGGGTGTGTCCTATTGCTGCAGGCCCGTGCTCTAGAAGGAAACCTGGAGTTGGAATTGCTGCGAACGGCATGCATGTGCAAGGGGGTGATCTGCTGCCGGATGACACCCCTTCAGAAGGCCCAGGTGGTAGAGCTGGTGAAGAGGTACAAGAAGATGGTGACACTGGCCATCGGGGATGGGGCCAATGACGTCAGCATGATTAAAGGCATGTGAGGGGTGGGGGGCAGTTAGCTCCCAGCCATGGGCTTGCCCCTTCCTTCCTCCTTGGGCAAAACTGATCTGAGAGGTACTGTGTGGCTGGCTCACATTCCTCCTGTCACGTGCATTATATATTTATACTGTTTGGCAATTCCATTCATGCTTCTCCACATCTGCACTGCCACTTATTTGCACATGCAGGCAGCAGCCCATATGCACAGGCATGCACACTCCTTCAGACTCATGCACTCACACTGTGACTGTAAGTACACACACGTACACATGGCTCCCACAAGAACACATACGTACATTCACAGAACAGGCTGTGCAACTACCATACCATCTTTCTGAGATGGCATCAAGGCCCACGGAAAGGACCCCTGGGCAAGAGTCATAGTGTATTCCTTTTTTGAAGGCTGTAGGCTGCGAGGCCCAGTGCAGAGATCTTTTCCTTCCCAAGGCTGTGTTCCCAAGAGCTCGCCCTGCTTCCCTGGCTGGAGGAGAATAGATGACTTACTGACCACTTCAGACCTATAGAAACAAATGGCCAAAATTTACTGGTTTTAATCTCAGGTGACTGTTGTTAGCCTCTAGCAACTTACAAGTCTGTGATATATGGATAAATCTAGAGGTCTTCTAGTCCAACCTCTTTACCCATACAGGAAACACTAGCAGATATTCCAGCCTCAGGTTCAATACTAGGCAGTGCTCTTGCTCTCTTCTCCAGTTTCTAGAACAACTTTGGTATTTAGGGCTTTCGAGGTTTCAGTGATCCTATTAAGCAATGTAGCAGGTACATACAAGAAAATAAGTGAATTTGGCATATACCAGAAGAATGGTGAATTACCATAGACTAATTCAAACTTTTAGGAACTTCAGTCTTATCTTCCATCAAGTATAATTTTTGCTTCATCCAGAAGAAGTCACCTTACGCCCCCTGAAGAATTTTTTTCTCACTAACAAAGTATGTGCATCACATACAATTGGATTTTAGCCCCATAGATAAACTTAGGTAATTAAATATTGTTTTATATTGGTATCTATCTTGTATCTTTAATTGATTTAAGTGGCTCCCAGAGATAAGAAGAAATTTTAACCTAAGCATCTGGACAGGAGGGAAGAACCCAGATAGCTAGAGTAGAGGCAAAGAATATGCAGGATAGCTTTCTAGCACTGGCCTGGCAGGCATTCTTGAGTGGCAGAGTTCAAAAAAAAGTGCAGAAGAAGCAGCTGTTTTCCAGCTTGCAGGGGAAGGGCAACCCACTAAGGAGAAAAGACTCCACTACGTAAGCACCATTTTGCACTGGGCCTACCAGCATTTCCCAAATGTAAAATAAGGGGTTTGTACAACATCATCTCAGCTTTCCCTTTATACTTCCCAGGCTGGGAGCCCAGCAAAAAAGCCCTGTGGCTGAGAAGCTCCTGGGGTTTCATTGCAGCTGCCCACATTGGGGTCGGCATCAGCGGCCATGAGGGGATGCAGGCCATGCTCAACAGTGACTTCGCCTTCTCCCAGTTCCGCTACCTTCAGCGTCTACTCTTGGTCCATGGCCGCTGGTCTTATAATCGCATGTGCAAGTTTCTCAGCTACTTCTTTTATAAGAACTTTACTTTCACCCTGGTGCACTTCTGGTATGCCTTCTACAACGGGTTCTCTGCACAGGTAGGAGATCATCTGGTAATCTCCACTCTAAGTCAACTGAGTCTTCTCCAGTCTCCCCCTTCTTCATCCAGCTCAGACCTTTTTTCTCCTCAGAGCCCAATGTATGATATGCTGCCACCCATCCATGAAGCTCTTCACCCCATACTGATTCCATCTCCGAACCTTACACCAACCTTAGTTTTCCAAACCATAACTGTTCTGGCCTGGCTCTGATTTGGTCTTGACTCCTACCTTCAGAAGTCTCTCATAAGCTATTTTCACCATTTCCCTGACATTGAGACCTAGAGTTTCCAAACATATGTAATGGGGAGAAATTCCTGGATCTGCGAGTTTTCTTAGCATCCTAAATCACCTTTATGGAACAGACTGAACCTCAAGGAGCCTCTGTCTGGGTCATACCAGACAGACCAGTTGTGGCCTTCACTTGGAGCCATACTTGGAAATACAGCTTCCCTTTATTTCTCCTTCCCCACTCACCTGACTGCCCCTGCCCCCAACACACACACAATTGTTACTTTGATGGATGGATTCTACATTTGGGTATGAAATCTCTCCCACCCTAGTGGGGAGAAGTGACATAGATTTTGATGTTTTAAGAGGATTCCCATTTCCTATGAGAAGTTCTTCTGCAGCGTCTCAAGGATTCCCAAGAGAACCAACCTCAGGAATGATTATCTTGGGAGATCCCTACCACTTTTCTTGCCATAGGCTCCAGGGGAAGCAGAGCAGTTAACAGACGGTAGTAGACTTGTATACTCCCAGCGCCTAGCAAAGCCAGTTTGGTTTGTGGGAGGTGTGTGTGCATGTATGTGTTGCTGCTGACCTCTTGTGGCCAGTATGGAAACGGGCCCTCTCCAGGCCCCAGGATGGAGCACCCAGCTGGGCAAGGATCACTGGGGTCTATTCTGCTTGCTGATGTTAGGAGGTATCCAGTGCTAGAGAAGTCACTGCATACCATCAAGCAGACAAAGAGCCCAGAGGTTTACATGCCTAGGAGTGCAGGGGTACAGCTAGCATTCTCTAGCAGCCACTCTGGGTCCTTTCTGTGCAGGGAGGGGCAGTGAAGGTTATGGTAGGATTGGTCTAGGTCGGTCTTGAAACCTTGATGTGGCCTTTTGCCCCAGCCTGGAAGCCAGGGTTCTAAATATGATAGGATCAAATATAGACTGGGGGTCAACGTTCTGAGTCAGATTTCTGAAATCCAAATGCTGCTTTAGGTTAATGTGGTGGTGGGAGAGTGTGGGAAAGGCAGCTGTCTTGGACTTGGGAGGTGGAGCTGAGACTTTAGAGAAGAGAAGAATCTACAAAATCTTCTTGGTATTCTTCTAGATAGTTTACGATACCTGGTTTATCACCTGCTACAATCTGATCTACACTTCCCTCCCTGTTCTGGGCATGAGTCTGTTTGATCAGGTAAGACCCAACAGCAAGATCCTTAGTCAGGGTTGAAGCCCCTGGCCCCTTGGGGAGTATTCCCATGAGTGAGGAAGACATCAAGAGCCAAGCTCTACAAAATCAAGGAATAATTTCTAGAGAGGAAAGGGAGCTCATCAACTGGACAGGTATCATGAGATAAAGTAAAGCATCCTTTTTCAGAAAGAATAACGATCAGTTATAGAAAGCCAAGTTTTCCTGTGTCAATTTTATCTTTGTAGAGAGAAACATGGAAATTGTGCCATACGGTAAATTGGGTGTGTATAAAAGTAATGAAAGGAAAAAGAGTTATTGGGGCAGGACTGGGTAAAGCAAGGGTCTTCAAGAAAGGAGAGACCTGTTCAGAGATAATGAGAAGGAGATAAGCCAATGCAGACAGGCCTAGGTGGGAGTCCAGAAGGCTAAGTTTGGGAGTGTAGTTATGATGCCTTATGCCATAGGAGCCAGCCTAGGGGATCCCATCTGTCCTTGTCAGAAGTCCCTGGGCTTTGAGGGTCCTGGTACCCCACCTCTCCCTTCTCTTGCACCCCAACCTCTAGTCCTGGGCACATGGATTAGAAAAGGAGCCTCCAAAGAGGAATAAAGTAGCTGAAATAGAATATCATGGGATCATGGTTCCCAGTCTCCATCAGGGTAGTAGCTCTAAGTTCTCCATGAAGTAGTTGCCAACCTCAGAACAGCAAGAGGGATGGGTTGTATTACTCAACAGATCTATCCAGCTTCAATGGCCTAATTCTAGGGCTCCACCTCTGAAGCCCAAGCTTTGTTACCCAAAGTTTCAGATTTAGGAGATGAAAATGATCCAATGTCATCCACATAGAGAATCATCTCACCTTGAGTTCACTAGTAACTATGGGAGTGGGAGGAATATCACAGTACATGAATACCTCCAAGGGACTAACTGGTCCCTGTTGGCTTCCCCTCTGCCTCCACTGGCTTTTGACACAAAGATTATTCAACTGAAAAAACATTTAAACCTAGAGACTCATGTCCCAGCTGCCTCCCCCATCCCAAGGTTCAGCCCTCCCTTCCAGCTACTCCGAAAGCCTAACTGCCCCCTTTCACACCTCCCCAATCCTAACTGCCTTTAAGTCCTTCCCACAATCCTGACCCTCTCCTAGCTTTCTTCCACCACTTAGACCCTTGCCTAGAGAGTAGGACTTCAGGAAGGGTCTGTGGTCAGTGCTCTGTTCTCTGGTTCCACTTCTCAAGTAATCCATGAGGAAGCTCCTAGGCAACCTGGCAGCAGACTCAGTGAGGGGAGAAGCCTCTACCCTGATGGAGATGGGACCTTCTGTGGAAAGACCCTGAGCTCCCTCTTTACCCTCTGGTGCTTCCAGGATGTGAATGAAGCATGGAGCCTACATTTCCCAGAGCTGTATGAGCCAGGCCAGCACAACTTCTATTTCAACAAGAGAGAATTTATGAAGTGTTTAATGCATGGGATCTACAGTTCCTTCGTGCTGTTCTTTGTCCCCATGGCAACTACTTACAACTCAGAGCGAATGAACGGGAAGGACATCTCCAACTTCCAGTCTTTCTCTCTGATCGTGCAGACCTCCTTGATCTGGGTGGTCACAATCCAGGTGTGGCCAGTGGCAGTGGGATTAGGGGATTGGGTGGGGAGCCTGTCTGGAAGAGGGGGAGGTAAGAGGGAGGGAGTGTGAGAAGAGAGCAACCTCCATTACAGAATTGGAGAAGGGAGGTAGCTGACAGGTCCCAGATTATACGGTATTACACATAAGAGGGTCCTTTTCAGATCAGCCTACAGACAACCTACTGGACAATGATAAGCCACTTCTTCATCTGGGGTAGCCTAGGTTTCTACTTTTGCATGGCATTCTTCCTGTACAGTGATGGCTTGTGCCTATTGTTCCCTGATGTCTTCGAATTCCTAGGTAAGGCCCTGCCCAGCAGGCAGGGGGCTGAGGGGTGAGCCAAGTATATTGATTTAATAAACATTTACTGAAAAGCTTTTGCTATGTACTAGGCTCTGTGGATAGAGATATGAATATAACATGGTTTCTGCCCTGAAAGGACTCAAAATCTAGCTAGGGATATATTTTACCTTATTAGAGTTCCCAAGATATTTTCACATTTCTAACGTAATTTGATCTTTACAAGCATCCTATGAGGTAGGCAGGGCAAAAATTGTTAGCACTATTTTAGAGACTAGAGTTTTTAAAAATTAAATGGCTAAAATCTAGGTCTCTTGGTTTCAGTTCAATGTCCTTCATGCTGTGGCATACTGCCTTATTGTCACCCATGTTAATTTCCCTCTCTCTCATCTCCCCTCTGATGAAGATAAAATGCAGAGAGAGTATATATGTAGATGTAGTTGACTCCCACGTCTTGTTGGCCTGTTAACTCCATTTTTCTCCTCCAAAGGCTTCTATCCCATTTTTTTTATCCAGGCCCGTGCTCTAGGATTCCCTCATAACTCACCCCACTCTCCTGTCCTGCCCTACCCTGCCTTGAGAGGGAGACAAAGACATGTGAATTTACAGCGACTTTGGGTGCACAGAGGACCCAACTGCAATTCTTTCGCATTTATATTATTTCTCAAGAGACTAAACTGTATCCAAATCAATAACTTTCTTCCATACCTCCCAGCCCTGGCCCCACCCCTTCCTCCAGGCTCTGTTTCAGCCTTTCCCCTCTGGGCTTATTGTTTACAGGTGTGACCAGGAACATTCTGAACCAGCCGCAACTGTGGCTGAGCATTATGCTCAGCGTGGTCCTCTGTGTATTACCTGGGCTTGGGTACCGATTTCTTAAACCACTATTCTGGCCCGTCGGTGTGGACAAGGTGAGTGGAACAGGAAACTACCCAGATATAATTCACAACCCTCTTTGCCTTTGCGTCTGAAAACTCTGTCCCCCATGCTCTGGCTATAGGTTTTTGAGAGAATTCAGCAGTGCAGGAAACTTCCAGAGCCACACCCAATCCGGACCAAACTGAAACATACAAGCTCTCGTCATTCTGGCTACGCATTCTCCCATAAACAGGGCTTTGGGGCCCTCATCATTTCTGGCAAGATAATGAAGTTCAAGGCATCCAAGCAAAGCAGCCTTGCTTCTAAAAAGTAGAGGCCCTGGGGAAACTCCAAAGGAGTTAAGTCATTGCTCTTCCTCCCTTGTATTCACACAACTTGGTAAGGAAAGATTAGAGTCCCTGGGACTGTAACCAGTATAAACCTGCTCCTCCACTCTCATTAGGGGCTCAGCCTCTTAATTCCCCAGAAGGCTCTGCCCAGGTAAGGCAAGGAAAAGTAAGGAAAGAGCCCCCAGATATCTGCCAGAGTTGAAGCATTAAAAAAAAGAAAGCAACTTCAGGCCTCCCTTCCACCATCCCATCCAAGTTTTAATCCAGACAAGCAAATGTGATGTGAAAGTAGAGGGTGAAGAGGGACAGTATGGAGAAGGGAAAAAAAAAAACCAGGACCTAAGAATCTTACTTTGGGCCCTATCTCCCATACCCAGGGCAAGCATAACCTTCCCAGGGCCCCACAGGAACATATTCCCACCCTGGCATCCTTTTCAGGTTTAGCTGGGGGATCCGAGTATGTCTTTTGCTGGCCCTGGGGAGCAAAAGGAGGAGGCAGCTGCTGTGAAGAGCTGGTCTTAGGAAGCTGAAGGAGAGTTTCTGGACCAAAAAAAATAAATAAATAAAAGGAGGTGGTTCCTGCCTGGAGAGGACAACTCACGATCTTGCCTTCTTCCCCTCTCGTTGACCTCTTTGACCCAGGGACTGGTGATACCTGTTCAGACCTCAGAACTGGGAGGGCGATACTGCAGGAGATTTTTAAAATTCTTTTCTTGAGGGGACATAGGCCATAATTGGTGAGCATTGTCTTCATTCCGTAAAATTATTTTGAGAAGAATTTGTATGTACTTGCAAAATTGTTTCTAAGAAATTTATGGAGCAATAAATTGCTTATTTTGGAACACAGAGATTTGTATGATCTGTTGGGGCCCCAGTGACAATAATATAGTCTGAGCAATATCATTGGTCCACAGACCCACCACCCTCCCCCTTCAAATCAGAACAGTGTTTCCCCTTCCCCGCTCTTTCTCTCCCTTTTCAGCTCCACTCCGTTTTTCTGTCACCTCTTGATAAACTCCATTTTAGCCTCAGTGTAACTACATCTTTTAATCATATAGCTCTGTCCTCTTTGCATGCATTTAAATATAGGTTCCTGGGTTCTTTGCTCATCTTTCTCTGTCCAAACTCATGCCTTCATTTAGCAACGGAGAGAAGATTCTCAACTCTATCTCTAGCCCAGATCTCTCTGCTAAGGTCCAGATCCAAATATTACAGTGACTCTGGACCCTTGAACCTCCGGAAACTTAAACTCAACCCACCCAGCCTATACTGTACTAATCATTTTTCCCCCAAATTTCACCCCAGGATGTCATCACCATCATCCCAGTCACCCAGGGCAGAATGATGAGACTCATCCTATGCTTCTTCATCTAGCCTCATGTCCAATCAGTCAGCAAGTCGTGTAAATCCTGAGCCCTTACTATTGCTTGTTTCCATTTCCCCCATTGTTACTAGCATTGCCTTTGTTCAGGCTGTCATCGCCTTTTACGTGGATCACAGCATAAAATCTCCCAACTCGAGGCCGGGCGCGGTGGCTCATGCCTGTAATCCTAGCTCTCTGGGAGGCCGAGGCGGGTGGATTGTTTGAGCTCAAGAGTTCGAAACCAGCCTGAGCAAGAGCGAGACCCCGCCTCTACTAAAATTAGAAAGAAATTAATCGGACAACTAAAAATATATAGAAAAAATTAGCCGGGCATGGTGGCACATGCCTGTAGTCCCAGCTACTCGGGAGGCTGAGGCAGAAGGATCGCTTGAGCCCAGGAGTTTGAGGTTGCTGTGAGCTAGGCTGACGCCACGGCACTCACTCTAGCCAGGGCAACAGAAGTGAGACTCTGTCTCAAAAAAAAAAAAAAAAAAAAAATCTCCCAACTTGGCTTCCTGGTTCTCCCCTTTCTAAAGCATCAACAGTACTATTTCAAGAGTAATCTTTCTGAAAGGCAAATTTGGTCATGTCAAGCCCCGGTTTAGCATATTTGAAGCGCTTCCCATACCCTCTGGATCAAGTTAAAATTGGAACACTTTATTATTGGACCCTCTCTGGCATTGTCTGCCATCATGCCCCCATCTACCTTCACTCCAGTTACAATATTTCTGGTCTCGGTGTCATCAAACACGCTGTTCTCATATCCTAAAATGCTTCTCTCCACCTCCTTCTTCATGTGGCTAACTCCTAGTCACCCTTCAAAACTCAGATTAGTTGGAACTAGACAGAGGTGATGGTTGAACAACGTTGTCAATGTACTAATTGCCACTGAATTGTAAACTTTAAAATGATTAATTTTATGTTATGTGACATTCACCTCAATTTTTTAAAAAAAGTTCAGATTAGGCATTGTCTCTCTAGGAGCTTTTCCTAATCCCTCAGTGTGACTTACATACCCGTTCTATTTGTTCCATTGCTTCCCTGTACCTACCTCTATCAGTGACACTTATCATGGAGCACTGGAATAATTGATTTATTTGTCTATTTCCTTTAATAAATGTCTGTTGAATTAACAAACAAATGAAATGAATGAATATTAAAACCTGTTTCTTTAGCTGTGTTACTTGTTTCCATGAATGGCATCACTACCTAATAGCTCAAACCAGAAACCTGGAAGTCTTCCTGGACCTCTCTTCCATTCCACTAATCCAGTCCATTCAGTTACCAAGTTCCATATACTCTGTCTCAGAAATGTCTTCAATTCTTTCCCTTCCTGTTCGCCCCCAGTCCCACTGCTCTCACTTACAACACCACCCTCCTCTCTGGTCTCCCTGCCTCCACTTCTGCTTCTTTCCAATCCATTATCCACACCACAGAGAAAAATATTCCCAAAATACAAATTAGATCATATCGTTTGCCAGTTTAAAATTCTTGAGTGGCTCAGCATAGCTTCCTGACCTTGATGTTGCAACTTCTCCAACTTCATTGTCCGCTTCTGCTGCACATAACCTCATTCTTGCCATACCAAACTATTTCTGTTCCCCAAAGATTCCGTTACCTTCAGAAGCCCCTATGCCTTCACTCTTTCTATTCTCTCCTCTTAGAATATACTTCTCTCCTTCCTTTGTCTAGATAATGTCTATCTGCTCTTTTTTTTTTTTGAGACAGAGTCTCACTCTGTTGCCCGGGCTAGAGTGCCGTGGCGTCAGCCTAGCTCACAGCAACCTCAAACTCCTGGGCTCAAGCAATCCTTCTGCCTCAGCCTCCCGAGTAGCTGGGACTACAGGCATGTGCCACCATGCCCGGCTAATTTTTTCTATATATTTTTAGTCGTCTGATTAATTTCTTTCTATTTTTAGTAGAGACGGGGTCTCACTCTTGCTCAGGCTGGTCTAGAACTCCTGAGTTCAAATAATCCAGCCGCCTCAGCCTCCAGAGTGCTAGGATTACAGGTGTGAGCCACCGTGCCCGGCCCTATCTGCTATTTAAGTCTCAGCTTGGGTCACTTCTCAAGGAGCCTTCACCAGTAACACAACCTACTGTTCTGAGTTGGATGCGTCTTGCTTGCACTAGAGCATCTTGTACCTTTCTCTTATTTCTATTTCTCAAAATTTAAATACATGATATCATCATTCACATGCCCATTTTAATTGTGGCTTACACTTCTTTGTCGTCTCTGTTAGGCCATGAATGATCTCCTTGAAGGCAAGAATTTTGTCTCATTTTTGTATTCCCATCATCCAGCAGAACACTAGTACTTAGATGATTGGTTTCTTTTTTTTGTTTTTGGTTTTTGGTTTTTTGAGACAGAGTCTCACTCTGTTGCCCGGGCTAGAGTGCCGTGGCATCAGCCTAGCTCACAGCAACCTCAAACTCCCGGGCTCAAGCAATCCTACTGCCTCAGCCTCCCAAGTAGCTGGGACTACAGGCGTGTGCCACCATGCCCGGCTAATTTTTTATATATATATTTTTAGTTATCTAGCTAATTTCTTTCTATTCTTTTTTTTAGCAGAGACAGGATCTCGCTCTTGCTCAGGCTGATCTCCAACTCCTGAGCTCAAATGATCCGCCCACCTCGGCCTCCCAGAGTGCTAGGATTACAGGCGTGAGCCACCACATCCGGCCTAGATGATTGTTTTTTAATAAGTGAATAGGTGAAATCTATTGCCTTTTATTTTTCTTAAACTTGCTTCTTACCCTTTCCTTTCAAAATGAATCTCACCTTTCTGTATCTAGTTTCTAGTTATACTTCAGGGGCCTCTTTTTATGAAACACAGTTACTCATGGTCTCCCATGTAAGGGAGATTTTTACAATCTCCCATTGTAAAAATACAGTTGGGACCAGTAATATCCCGCAAAGCTCCTAAACAATCACTACCCTCTCCTGGTGGTTTATATGCGTACTAGGAGACTTGAGTCTCCATCTCTGCTAAGGATCCAAGACAGAAAATGCCACATTCCAAAGTGTGGTGTGAGATGACCATGCAAGACTTGCAAACAAAAAAAACAGGTGTTATGAAAAACAAGTTTGCAACTCTTAATTGCCTCACCCACCTTGAGAAAGGGGCCAGAAATTCAGACATTAGAGAGGGATCTTTGGAGAGAATTGCTAGTGGGCTGCAAGTCCTCCCCTTACCCCAGTTCAGTTCAAGTTGAGAAGGTTTTAAGGAAATTACTTGGAGAGATCAATATGCTTAATGTGTCTGGGGGGACACGGAGGAAATACCTAACTCATAACTAGAAAATCTAAAAAGCAAGAGAACAATTCGCTATCTGTTGTATGACATAGCAAGAAGTGGCTGTGGTGAGATTAGTCTGTGCTCCCATAGCTTTACAGGGCAAGGATGAATGGGTGCTCCCAGGGGCCATGTAGGAGAGAGACCTAGTTGGGGTTTCTTTATCCTGTCACAGAGATCATCTGAAAGTTTCAGGAGACCTCAGCAGAAGGAAGCAGGGGATATGCTGTCAAATGCCTAGGGATTTATAATTAGATGGAAGGGGCATGAGGTAAATTTTCTTTATCTTGACTTTGGGGGTGGTTACATGAATTTACATCTGTCA